TTTTTTTTTTTTTTTTTTTTTGTTAAGTGCTCCCCTATTCCCTCCTTTGAGCAGGAGAAGTGTGTTTAGATACATGCATCTATGGTTTTGGTGGATTAAAATATACAGCAAAGGTAGGGTTGGTTGGGTGAGAATGAGGATGGAAAGGAATCTGTCCTGAAATCCCCCACATTCTATCACCAGAAGGATACAGAAATGAAATCTTTGGTGACTTCCTAGTAACTGTCAGCCAGTATTCATTCTCTCCTCTGTTCTCAGCAGTCAAACCTGAATATGTCAGTTGGGAGCACATGACAATAAATAAAAATGGTATTTTTAAGCTTCTATTGGGACTGAGTGTAGTCATGTTCTTAGTTTCACATCAAAGAGCTGTAAGTACAAGTGTTGTATGGAAATTCTAGGAAACATCCTTAAAGGATAGTTGCTGTGTTCCCTCCTCTTGCCCCATTTTCCTGCCGGCTGGTCTGCAGATGAAGTCCTGGAGTGATGCCTGGGAATGGAGTCTTTGCCAGGTGGAGAAACAAGGTAGAAGCTCCTTTTTTGTTGGAACAGAATTTGCTTTCCTCAAACCCAAATTTTTATCTGAGAGAGAAGCTTTTATCTATTTTCATGCACTGTGATTTGGGGACTTTTTAGTTGTCATAACACTCACTATCTCTTTACCTATGTGGGGAGGGGATGTGTGTGTGTTATATGTACATATGTGCACATGAACAGGGAGGGCGTTTGAAGGATCTGGGGATAAAAGAATAAAAATATAAGAACCAGTGAAAGGCTCTTCCTTAGTCTTCCAGAAATCTGAATCTGAATTATAGGAATCCACATATGCAGACAGTTCTATTGTCCCTTACCTGACAGAACAGTGCTTCAAGACATGGCTAGTGCTTTGACTTGGCTTAACCACAATGAGTCTGAGCTGCTACAAAACTGTGTTGTTCACAGTGTTTACATCTTTATTGCTCCTTATTCATTTTACCGATTTACAAAGCACATTATTCAAGATACCAGTGTGAAGGAATATTATATTACTTTTTGTGTTTAGCGTGTAGTAGTGAGTTGACAGAACAGACTCAGTTCCTAGCAGAACTTGGTGAGGCCATCTTCACAAAGATTTCCCTGAGATATGTGTTAATGTATGCTCTTGTTCTTTAAGGCAAACCAAAAGTAAACAACGGTCAAGATCATCGAGGGCTAAAAAAGAATTAGGATAAGTATTAAAATAGATTATTTATTTCTTTTCTGTTTATCGTTCATAGGTTTTTTATGAGCTGAGAGGATATTCTTGCCAATGCTTCTAACTTACTAGTCTAGGTAAGAGCCAGACAGTCATTCTGTAACATTTATGAGGCACGTTTTCTGGGCTAATCCTTCTGTGGGAGCCATAGCACTGGGGAGACCAAGACAAAGAAGATGAGCAGACAATAAAACAGTTTCAATCTATGGATCTTAAGGAGAACACTTTTTGTAGCCCTAATGATGGGGAAAAAAAAACATTTCAAAGGCTGCTTTATGACTTGAAAAGAATGTTGTATGAATCTCTTTACAAAAATTACTTTCTTATTTTCATTTACTATAATTGTTCTAATCAAAGCTTAGGGGAAAATGTGATTACTGAATTTAAAGTTGGTTATTAAATGAGTATACATAAGAAATGTAAATTAAAACTATAATGTTTTAAGACCAGAAACTAAAACATTAGTATCATAGTAAGATGTTTCTATTTTCAAGGACATTTTATGATCTAAAATTTCATTTTACACTGTCTGAATAACAATGAAACTTGAAATGATGATTTGAAGCAATGAAAGCTCTAAAAACTTTAATATGAGTAAAAATTGAAAGCATACAGTCAAGTCTGAACTTATCAGCAACTCACAATACTCTATTAACATATCTCTAGTCACATGTGTAACAAAATAGACTTACCAGTATGTTTGTGATATAGGCTTTATCTGACAGTATCTTTAATCTTAGATTTCCTATTATGGACATTAACGTGTAGCTGTAAATATTACATATGTGCACATTGCCTGTGGTGCCCCTGTTAAAGTTTGTTATGTTCCTTATTATTAGTAGTTTACATGACAGCTTTCTAATTAGGAAACCTCATTCTAAGAATGAGGGGCATAGACCTTATTGATATTCACATTTCTATTTCTTATTCCTTACAGATGTTCTAGACTTCAATAATTATTTAATCACTCAGTCAATCAGCATAGTAAGCATGGCATAGTTCCATATATGTACAGCATAATGCTCTCACATACATGCACAGAAAGAGAGCAGCAGATAAGAGAATTGATGGTTTGTAGTTTATGATTAGTTCTGAAACTTCTGCCATTAGATGTACATCTTTAGCTTTTCGGGTCCTAGAAGTTCCCGAGTAAATACAAGTTCATCAAATTGATAGAGGTCATAACAAACAGCACACTTTATGGGCACATGGCACTTTTCACTAGCTTCCTGATGTTGGGGGCGCTCACATTGCCTGTTTTGCTCTTGGGGCCGTGGCTCTGCCAATCAGATGCATTCATCATTCGACCTTGGTAGATTCTGCTTTGCATCATCCAAGGACAGCACCAGTGAGAAATGTCCCAGTGGGAACATCCGGGGTGGCATGTGTAGCACCAGTTGTCCAGGAACCTGGATTTATGGTATCAATGGAGCAGTCTGGTGTAGCTCCCAAACCCGGTTTTGTGACCCTCCCAGATTCAGCGAATTACCTAACATCGAATAAATTCTTTTTCTGTTTAAATTAGTTAGACTTGACAAAAAAGGAATCTGACTGAAAAACAGTATTAAAAAGAACAGAGGCCCTCCCTGGTGGCGCAGCGGGTTAAAGCACGGCGCTGAGAAGCTAAAGCTACTTCCTCATGAGTTCGATCCCCGCCTGCCCTGGAGGTGACCACATGGCGCGGCAGATCTCTCCTGACCCGCCCACTGCAGTATGCTTTGTCGGTCTGCCTGTTCTGCTCCCCACTCTGTCTGTGGTGAATCCTTTCACCGCCCCTGCTCCTCTGGCCTGTACCCCAGCTCTGTATGCAAATAAATAAATCGGAAGAGCACACGTCTGAACTCCAGTCACTGCTCGACATCTCGTATGCCGTCTTCTGCTCTTAAAAAAAAAAAAAAAAGGACAAAGAACAAGAAACTTTGATAAAGGGGAAAACTGAAACAAAGGCAGAGAGAACATCTTAATCAGAACATTTCCATGTTTATATTTGATTAAAACTTATCAAACTGATTAAGCTCCTTTCACAGACCATACTTCAGGCCGGTGCTTTCTCATTCATTATATCATTTGATGCTTTCTACAATTTCATGGAAAAAGTATGCTTATTATTTCAAAAATAATAAAAAATGTTAGATCT